TTTTGTATTATTGCACTTGTGTGAGTTATTCTATGGTTTCTAGTTTTGATCCCTTGTCCTTCATGTTTCTCTGGGTCCCCTCTGTTCTGTGTAAGTCTGTATCTGCATGTTTGAGTTTCCTTCTGTGGCTTTCGGTTCTTAGAGCCCTCTGTCTTATAGTTTACATCTCTGTGTTTCTTAGTTGCTGTCTCCACCGTGTCAAGTTCGCGTCTCTGTGTCTTACTTCCTGTTTTACTTTGAAGGTCAGTGTCTTATGTGAATGTGTTCAGTTTACGCTTCCTTGTCTCGTCAGTTCTGATTTCCCCCAGCTGTGCTCTCCTTCTGTGTCTCATTCCCCTCGTTACTTCCAAGTGTGTGTACTTCCCTGTGTTTCTCTGAGTCAGTGTCGTGTCGTTCCTCATGCTGTGTGGATCTCCCTGTGAGTTTAGTGTGTTATTCCCCAGTTTAGTTTACTTTGTATGCTTGTTTTTCTGTGACCAGCAAATAAAGCTGTGGTTTTGAGTTCACCCTCGAGTCTGTGAGTCCTGCATTTTGAGTCCTCATCTCCTGCCTGCCACAAAGCGTTTTATGACAAGAACAGTCTTTTGGTGATCTATTGTTAGCTAAATGTAAGTAAATATTAATAATAATTTTAAAAAAAACTACAGACACTATGTGGCCTAGAGTTCCAGCACCTCAGAAAACTGAGTCACATTATTATGGCTTTTACAAATGACCTCTCATTTGGTGGTGTCCTTAAGCAATGAAATGTGGGGCTGCTCATGAATAGCAGCAACGATACACACACACATTAACAGAGTGAAGTCAAATAGGTAACATGTGAAAACACACAAAGATACATGCACACTGCTGTCACAGTGAAAGATAGTTATGAAACCCAAGTAGACAACGCTTGCTTCATGCCAATTAAACACTGGCACGGCTGGAATACATGGTAACATACACAGAAACCGAGAGTGGAGAAAAGTCGTAATGACACAGCAAGAGAGGAGGGATTAGGAACAAAAACATGGAAAAAAAAACGTGAAAAAACAAAAAAGAGAGGAAAGTGCCGCTGTTGAAGGGCACAGACAGGCTGTTATAAAGTTATGTCATTGCACCAATCTTAGAATATTTTCTTTATAATCCTGAGACATGTGTTTACATTTTTGTTGTTTAGATCTCTTAAGGTGGAGACTCCACAGACCTATGAGCTCATACAGATTATGAAAAGATATTTAACACACAAGAGTGAAAAAAAGTCAGACAGGTTTTAATGTGAACTTTAAGGAATTTTAGTTTTTCTTTTTTAAATCCTAAAACTGTAATTAAACACAGATAGCTCTGATCAAACAAGGTGTATTTGTATAACCATAAATGAATTATCTGTGAGAGAAATGTAACTCATTTAAATGTCAGTATGTTGTTTGATTGAAAGTCATGTGGTGATAAGCCCCAGTGACATTTTTTACAATTATTCTTATCAGATCAGGTTTAAATACTGAAACGCGTTCACAGAAAATAGTTTTTTTTTAAGCTGATTGTGGAGTATGAAAGAATTATGCACTCAACACAATTACACACACTTTACTAATGAAAAAGTTACATGATGCAAACTGAAGGATTCAATATTTTTTTAAACGTAACGAATGAATATGAGAAGAAGAAAAAAAAAAACTTCCCAGCCTGAGTTTTGCTACTTTATTTGGCAAAAACAAAAGAAAAAAATCTCTGACCTAACTGTTGGATTTAATGGCTGGAAAATGTGTGTGTACTGATGTTCCACTGACCTCTTTTTCTTACAAAATCAATTAAGATGGCAAAAATAAAACCAGAAATTTTGATCATATTTCCCATAAATGTCTCTTCCATCAGGTTCACCTTCACTGAACTCCAGACATTACACCTAGTTTGAAGGAACAATAATCAGAAGCTCCACTGGTCAATGTTTTGAAATGTTACAAATGTTCTGTTGTTTCGTATGATTGAAATCAAAAGAGAATTAACACGAGAATATAGATTCCACATTTCCATATCCTTCGTACTTGAATCCACGAAGTAAATACTGAAAGTTCATTATTGAACTTGAAAATACCGTTTAACAAAAAAAGCATCTTCGTCTTTAGTTCCTTTTGTATCGTGTGGCAAATCTTGGGTTAGCTCAGATCAATCTTAAAGATCACATTAGATCAGATTATTGAATAAGAATGAGCTGTAGATTTACCACACACTGACAGCCTAACAAAAATTCTTAACTTATATTATTCAAACTGTAGAATTCGCTTCATTGTAGTGACGTTTGCTGGGGTTTGTTGGTTATCAAATCAGCCTTAGAGACTGTGTGACTACAGCTAGACCTTCCTTACATTAGGTCAGACATTCTTACAGCAGAATTTTGCAGTTATCTGTAAAGACATGAATTTAGTTTGAATAATTTTGCCATTATCACATTAAAATCCACATTTCTACCATTGGGATACCTTTGGAATGAGGGGCCTGAGCTTTCTCTTTGGCTGGCAACCCATACCCTGAAGCACAGCCCGTTCTCACCCCCAAGGCGTAACATCCCGACGATTGGTCAAGTCCTGCGGCGTTCCTGAGGAACGCGAAAGGTGACCTTCCGCGTTCTTATGCTACGTGCCGAGTTATGGGTGAAATCCAGTACAATCACGGTCCTGAGGTAATACACGTTCCAGCCATGTATTCTAGCCCTAACCCCAACCTTGTCCCTAATGCTAACCATAACCTTATCCCTAGCCTTAACCATCACTATAATGACGTTAAACAGTGTTTTCCAAAGGATTTAAGTAAAATGAACGAACACGTGTAGATTGATTCCAAACGTTTTTCATGTTTCCTCGTTTTTCCGATCTCATCATTTAGGGACGTGTTAGATGCCTGGAAGCGCAATATGTTGACGAATTGTCACCTAGCATAAAATATTAGTTTTTGGGAGTGAGAACATGTTGTGAAGCAAGACCCCTGCAGCAAAGATTGGGTTAGGGTTGTAGGACATTACATCATATGAAATGTGGTTGTGAATGGTTACCTGTATTCAGTAGCAGATGACCTGTCTAGTGTATCCCATGATTCACTGTACATGGGATACTCATGGGACCCCCATGGCCCTCAACTGGACAAGCGGTTAAGAAAATGTATTTATGCATGTATGCATATATGTATGTATGTATGCATGAATGTATGTATGTATGGATGGATGGATGGAAGATTGCAAAACAGTTCACTAAGCAACTCGAGCTGCATTGCATCAGACACAATAACATGCCTCACGTCATTTACCAAACACAACCTCCCAGTTTGGCAAGCTATTTTGACCATGCTGTTTTGACCTTGATTGATGAACCAAACCATCCATTTGTAGGCTTTGATGGGATGTTTACTTGTCACTCCTCAATTTGTATATCGTATTGGAGTGATGAGCTCTGGTGCCTGGACACCGAACTCTAGCCGTAGTCTTCTGCTGTAACGAAAGACTCATTTCAGATGTGACTTGTCTGGCTGAACTAACATATGGAAGCCATAATTAAAATCATCTAGTGTATTTACCCTTAGCAGGCAGATGTTACCGTAAGTTATACAGTTTTTGCATCAGTCATCAAAAAAAGTCTTGGAGCGATATTTTAAACAACTTCTCATGTTTCTGTTATTAATGCAACAAGTACCATGTGTGGCACGAAGATCACAGCAAGTCAGAGAAATTAAAGACAAATGAACTGAATAAGAAGAGAAGAGGAAAGAGATGAGAGCAAAAAGGAGGGTAAACATGGATAGAGATGTAAAACCTTTTTTGGCCGAGGTGACTGAGAGTTAACAACAAACAAATGGGGCTAAAGAGCTAAAACCAATGACAGAGCAGAGTGATTGAGTTTTCATTCTGTATGTAGAGTCTAAATTTAACCCACAATTGTTTCCAGGCTCAGGAGAAATGGCATCCCACCCACATGTGAAGCAGACACGAGATCATGGGTCTCATTCAGTTTCAGTTGTCATCAATCAGCTTGGGCTGTGTCCCCTGCCAGCATTACATCATGGCATACCTATTTTGATTTTAACAAGCCAGAGAAGTCATTTGGTGCACTGGCAGCGAGAGTCATACCACGTCGGGACTAATCAGTTCTGCACAAATTGGAGGAAGAACATTCAGAGCTGCTTAAAAGCCCTCGGCAATATTCCCACAATGTAAAATCATGTTTGCATGCTAGGGTCACTTGTGCTTAATCACACTACAAGCATCCACTGGCTCAGATGTGCTGTTGTTAAAGATCTTTTGGGGCATTAAGGTCCACCCAAAGGGATTAATTATACTATGATGTAAAGTTCTCATGTTCTTGCATGTTTTTAATGTATTCTCTTGATATATATGGTACATTTTATTTTGCAAAGGTCACACTGGCTGTACAGTACAATGCAAAAGCTCTAGGTTCTCAGAGGGATCTGACTGTTCACCTATACAGCCATAATGATAATAATGAAAAGCAAGCCGCAGTTACATGAAGAACAAGGAGTTTTGCAACAGATGGTGCAGCTTCTATAGAGCCACAGTCTCAATATAATGAAGTCATGGGGTATTACGTGATCACAGAAGACAATGTAGCAGAATAACTCTACAGAAGAGCTTTGGGAAGATGTTTAGCAAGTTCAGCAAATTCAGTAAGTGTACCAAGCCATTCTCGCTAATGCTTTTATGTTCTATGTTTTTACATTATTATGATGTGTCATATTTTAATTTCAGCACTTTGTGATTTTTATCTGTGAAAGGTACTATAAAATGCATTTTACTTACTTAGTTACTTACTAACTGAATCTATCAGCACATATTTCCAAAGAATTTAAACCAAATGACCTGTTTGAGTGTTGCGTGTCAGTTTAGAGGTCTTCTTTCAAGTTTTTAATAAAGTATTAATGTTTTCTCTATTCTCTATTAATGCTATACTCCAACTGTTCTTCTTCATTCCTATTCATATTTTGCTGATGAGAACAAACAACATCTTTTTGCTCACCTTCTAATATTGTGAGGTTCTTCAGAGCCGTGGAGTGCTCCCAGTCCTTCAAACGGAGGTCCTCTGTGATTGTGTTCAGGATCTCCATCTCATTCCTCAACTGGGCCTCCGTGTGGACATGGGTCACCCATAAACTGCTGGTGTCCTCTGTTATGTTGCTGATCTGGATCTGAATGTGGGACGTTTATGACTCAGTTTATGAAAAGTAGATCTGATGTAGAGGTAACTTTTGTGCAAGCTATTATGAACATCCAACCTGTAAGTCACGTATCTTCAAATGGTGAATACTGACATCGTTGCTGAAGGTGTGGTTGACAGCTCCCACTGTCCAGTTGACCTCGTCTAATTTTTCCCTCAGTTCACTCACATGACTCGAGGTTTCCCTAAAGTAAATCAGAATCTCACAGAAGTCCATTTGAATGTTATTAAATGCAGTAGACTACAAAAACTGTATTAAACGTGTACCTCAGTAGGACATCATGATCACGAAGCCACGTGGATGCTCGGGCCACCTCCGAACTCAAGCTCGTCAGGTTCCGACCCGCGGAGCTGCTTAGCGAGGACAACCTGTCATCCAACTGCACCAGGTAGCCTTCTGACTGTAGAGAGTGAGCCTGCATGCTCCTCAGCTCCACCTCCAAGCCCTGCAAGGAAAAGGACTCTGACTAATGGTAGTATTTCTATCATCAGCCTTTATTTTTCAACCTTAAACTTAAATTAATTAAGCATTGTTGGTTTGTTGCCCTTCAATGCTCCCCCTTTGGCACTTCTCTTTTCACCAGCTAGCCAGTTTGCAGAAGCCCCTGACTGAGCCATGGCCTCAGAACAGTGGCCGTACCAATGCAACCCCACTAGCAGCTGAAGGTTGAGAAAGGGTTGCAGTAGAGATTCTTAAAAGAACTCTGCAACACATCTGGTGTCAACATCAGAGGCATCAAAAAAGAAATGTTTTTGCTAAATCACTGTCTAGATAGATCAGATAGAGGAGATCCATAAGCAAAAAAAAGGTCAAGTACCACCAACTGTTGTGCCTACAGTGAACCCAATCAAGTGAGCTACAGATCCCAGGCCAGTCAGTTAAGCTCCTGCTAACAGCAGAGGTGTGGAATAGAAGAGCCCTAAAGAGTATTCTTAAAAACACTACAGGGTGGCTGGGCATCTGTTCTTTGGTCAAATGCGGGAGACGAGCTTGTCTCTAACGATCAAAGCACCAAAACACTCAATGATGCCTGGGGTGAACCATTTCTGAGTATTCCTGTTTAAATTGGGCCACCTTCATTAATCACACTTTCCTCTATAAACATTTAAGATACAATAAAATGGGGCATCCAGATATCTTGTGTTGTACCTTGATGAAGATCTCCAGCCTCTGCAGCCAGTTGCTGTGGTTCTGGAAGAGGTTTTCCAGTTTCCAGATGTTCTCCAGCAGGTCAGCTTGTTTGGACTTCTCTCCCAGGGTCTGCTGAAGCAGCTGGGAGCGCTCTGACATCCGGGTCGCATTCTCCGTCAGCACCTCCTGCCGCTGAGAAGACACCTGGGAGCGAGAGACTGGGGAGGGAAAGAGTGTGGAAGAGAGTCAGAGATTTGTTCTAAGTGTTGAAGCAACGATCCCTCAGCTAAAGCAAAAGTCCCCAAATCGAGTTTCATTTACTATCAATCACGGAGCTCGCCAGCACTGTAATGTAGAGCAGATGTTGAGTCAGGCGCCTGCTGTGATTCTGGTTGTCTATTTATGCTGAATGTATTGTTTGGTTAAGTCAAGACCTAAATAGTTTTACGAGTTTCTTTACTTGGAGTGCATATATAACATGACATTGTGGAAATTCTGCCTTCATTTTGAGTAATGCTGAAGTTGGCTTCTGCATGCCAGTATTTATCCAATGCTTGGAGTTTTGTTTCACAGGTATGATGCATTGACTTCCTATGATAAAAATTCCATTTCAAACATACTTCCCTCCTTCTTAACTGTCTACCTAGTGTTCTGACATCAACACCTACAAGGGTTATATAGTACAAAATTGAGGACGAGAGGACTTTTTTTTTGTCATTCTACATTAAATATAAAACCAAAGTGAATCCTTTCTATTAATGAATTTCAATTCTGGAGACATGGTTAAATCTAAGCAGTGGCTGTTTAGCTGTAACATCGCATTTGATGATGGTTAAAGCGCAGAGGAAAATTTCTCGTCTTGCATTTTCTTGTTGCATAAAGGTCACTTCTCAAGCCTCGCTCTCTTCTGTACCGTATCTAATGAGAAAAACCACCATGGTTTTATGTTATGTTGAAAGCATGCTGCATAGTAACAGCTCGATAGCCTGGCAGATATTTTGAAACCAGATCCTCAGCGCTGTGCCACGATGGCAACCTCTTCTCTGCAGGACCAGTGTGTGAAAAACCTTCAAAAGGAGAAAATGGACGAACTGAGGAAATGGGAGGAAGCAGATTATTCCCTTCACACATGTTCCTCGACACGCTAATGCCCCTAACAGCTCGATATCA